AAAACACCACTACTACGACGACGCCGTCTCTCCCCAGCGTACTATAGTCTCATCGACTCTGAGGTCGTCGAACCTCTACCTAGCTCTGAATCTAGGATGCTACGATGGTTGCAAAATGTGGGGCCTTGTGGAACGTCGTGTTTGGCATGCAGTGTCTTGCATAAGCTCACTACTAAATACTGTACGCAGCTGAACGGTCGGAATATGCTCGATCCGTCCCCTATCGTGGAAGCAGGGGAGGAGGGGTGGGCTGAGGTGGACGACAATAAGGGAGTGTCTTTGTTGTCGCTGACGAATGTCGCAGTTCGAAATACGGAGGACCGAACGGTGTGGATGCAAAGCGCACATTTGGCAAGCGGATATATGGAGTTGGTCATTATACCCGCGGTCGATCGATTAACGTAAGGTGTTCGCTTTTATCGGCTGAGTTCAAAAGTTTTCTCACTAATTACACGAATTCAGCGCAGGAATCAATGAGAATTTCCTCAAAAAAATCCACAGATGTTGCATATTTCTCGACTCTGATCGTGGAGACACTCCCTGTTTTAGGTTCACTCAAATCGTGGCGAAAGTGGCGGACAATAAGCATCTCGAGGATCCACGAGTGACGACTGAGAGGGTCACTTCCGTAATCTTCGAACCGACTATTAAGAGGGATGCGTCCCACCCTGATTCGAAATACGCGGAGTTCGGCATTGACGGGGAGTTGATCGATTCGGCGAGTCCGTTGAGGGCAGATCTGCTGCCTGGCGGTCTCCTCTTGATGGCTCCTGCCTGGGCTGATTGACGACCTCCTACTACTACTGTATAGTTGTTCATTCTTGATTCTGCTGGTATTTTAATCGTTCGGCAATTCCCATTAGTGCTGTTGTGTGAGGAAATGCAAGGAAGAGTGAGAGAGCAAGTGAATACCATTGTAACCGATTAAAGCGATCTCTGTCACACTGTTGACTCTATGAAGTTGCAAAGAAGCGGCAACTGAAGACTTTATAGGAGAAGCTCAGTCGCAAATAATCAGAATGGAGCTGTATCTTCACGTCGATATACGTAACGCCTCCTCCTTGTCGGGGAACTCGTCATTTTAAAATACTAGCCACTCTAACCTTGCCATTCTATGGCTCATCCAGAAGCTTCATGCCACGATGGTGCAGAATTGCACTACCCTACTAGTAGTTCTTCGTATGTGTGGTGTCTGGAAACGTATCATGCGCGCCAATCGAGCGAGCCTCCTCGGATCTTCAACGTAAGGAGGTTAGTGTTGGATTCAGTCCTTTCGACCGCCCGGTCTGCTTGGGTGCAAATCCATAGTACGCAACAACGACGACTACTTATGGGACGAACCACCCACCTACTATGCGTCGCGTTATTGAGCTGACTGTTGACCACAACAAGGGAGTTTAAAAGAAACTGCTCATGGGTTCAAATCACATCATCAGACTGAACGTCGTCACCAGTGGTGTCATCCTCGAAGTTTGCATACCCTTTGCCAGCCTTCACGATCCTACATACAACACAGCGTAACGATACCTCAGCGAGCGTTGCTGCTGCTGATATTCAATACAACTCTAGTTCGCTGTTCACCTTTTCTGCCCACCCGTTTCTCCTGAGGGCGCTAAACTAGAGTTTCGTATTGAGTAAGACAAGTAAAATATGGTCGCAACGAGCATCACTGCCAAGCCTCGAATGACTGCCGCTGATGGTAGGCCAGATATCATGTACCTGGCTGCGCTCATCCTTCTCCTCGAGGCCTACCCTCTGACCCTACGTATTGACGAACATTCCTATCAGCGGGACCTCAGGCGCACCCGGCACACGAAAAGAGTCGATATTCTCGTTGCTGTTCACGTCGGTGTAACTGCTGCTGTTGCTATCGTCAGTTGTGATGTGATCGATTGCCTTACTTGAGATATGTGCGGACAATTCGGGCAGTGGCGATTCCGGCGATGAGAGAAATGATGAGAAAAGGTAGACAGAAGAATATACTCACAAGATTATGCAAAAATAACACCCCGAAAATTAACGTGGCAACCTGAAAAAAATATTTTTTCGAGAAAAATTCAAAAGAAAAGTCACCTCGAAAAATAAGACCATGAGGAGTATTTCTCTGGGATAGTGTGGTCGAAGTGGGGAACTCGTTTGCACATCTAAGATTGACTTTAGGCGAATTCAATTCAGCTTTTCCTTCCTCACCCGCGACCCTAGGAGGCTCTTCCTGCATTCCGGGTTTTCCGTACGTCTCCGATGGCTGCTCGGAGGATGTCTGCTGATGGTGGATCCACGGAGGTACCACTCTGCCTGAAAATCGGGAAAAAATCGAAAAACTCGAAAAATTTTCGGGAAATTTCCTACCAAGCATCGTACACAAGCATACAGCCAGAAAGCTGAGCAGCGCTCCAAAAGACACTATATCTGCGAGGGCTTCGAAATCGATCACCAGGGCGAGCGCCGATGACACGACGATCGTAATGATCAGTGCTACAGAAGGCGTACCAGAACTAGTGAGCCTCCCAATCTGAAGAGAGAGAATCGACTCACCGATTCACTTTCGGTTTTGTACCGATCTCGGGAGAAGACCGTCACTGCTCATCCGTAGCATGATGCGCGGCTGAACAATCATGGATGACATCACTGACGTCATGGTATTGCCAACAGCCCCGAGGGAAACAACAAATCTTCAAATGATATCTTAGGTTCAAGCGACAAAGATACAAAGTAGGTACTCACTCCAAGACCGTCGCTCCTCGGGCTTCAAAAGCTGTAGCCAAAGGCGCGTTCATATTCACACTGGCAAGCGGCGCCAAATGGACGAATGCGACTGACGGCAAAAGATTACATTCACGAAGCGCTTCGCTCCGCCTACCAGCAACCAACACATACACAATACAGCATATGATGATTGTAACGATGATCGCTCGAGGGACGAGCCGGCGAGCCTGAAAAGT